CCTGCACTCCTCCACCCAGTCCCCATGTCCTGGCAGGAAGCCAGTGCTGGTGGCTTACATCTGTCATCCTGGCCACTCAGGAGGTTGAGATCTAAAGATCGCAGTTTGAAGCCAGCCCGGGCAGAAAGGTCTGCCTCTTCTCTCCAATAAACTAGGCACGAAAAGCCAGAAGTGGCGCTGTGGCTCAAGTGGTAGAGTGCTAGCCTTGAGCACAAAGAGGATCAGGGACAGAGCCCAGGCCTTGAGTACTGGTATACACACACACACACACACACACACACACACACACACACACACACACACACACACACACACACACACACGAGGCGGGAGGGGGGGGTTCCTCACCCTCATTACCAGCAGAGCGGGGCTCAGAGCTGGGAAGGGGCTCTCTACTCAGCCTGCGGAGGAAGTGTGAGACGGCTCCAGTCACCAGCCCCCCCCTCCGGCCCCCCCCAAATGGGCCCTACGCCAAGTGTGGCCCACAGAACCCCTTCAGCCACGATTCAGCCATCCTGTGCATTTGCATATCTGAAAAAAAGATTGTGCTCCAAGGCTGAGCATCCAGGCTGGGGACCCCTTTTGTCTGTTTGAGCAGGAGCTGGCTGAGGGCGAAGGATAATTAGTCCCCTGTGGACAGTGCGGAGCCCCCCTCCCCTCCTGGAAGATTTAAAGGCACAGCTCCCACACCCAAGATGGCCCAGACACCGGAGCCGGCAGCCGCCGCTCTGCGCAAAGGAGCCGCTCATCTGATTAAACGGGGAGCGAGCCGGCAATTCTCTATTATCAGTGGCTTGATTGGATGTTTAGCACGTGTGTGTGTGTGTGTGTGTGTGTGTGTGTGTGTGTGTGTCTGCAGCCTGGGATCTTCTAATGTATGTCAGGAGGAAATTGGGTTGTCTTAAAAAGCATTTAATCTGAGTTGGGGGGTGGGGAGCACCCTCATAGACTCAGCAGAGCTGGGGGGGAGGCTGGGCCGCGGGGCAATATGGTCTGTGACTCCCCCCCTCCTCCCTCCTCCCCCCCCCCCCCTCCCCGCACTCCAGAACCCCTGCTCAGGGCTTCTTTTGTTAGTAGGTCTTCTTGTGCTGGTCTCCCAGGGATTTAGTCCTCTTCACTCATGGGGTGAAGAGAGGGGAGACCATGAGAAGGGGCTGGGGGTGGGGGACAGAGGCTCCCCAGAGCCTGTGCCCCTTCCAGAGAGATCCAGAGTGCCCCCTCTTTGCTGCTCTCATGGGCTTGGACGTGCCCGTGCGAACCAACACCAGCCGCTCATGCTTGTCATCCTAAGCTGCTCAGAGGCTGAGATCGGAGGGTTCAAAGCCAGCCCGGGCAGGAAATTCCATGAACCAGCAAAAAAATAGTCATAAATGGAGCTGTGGCTCAAATGGTAGAGCCTTGGGTAGAAGAAGCTCAAGGACAGCACCCAAGCCTTAAGTTCAAGCCTCAGGACTAGCACAACAAACCAAGTCTCAGGGTGGACTGAACCGAAGCTCAGGGGACTAGGAGAAGGGCAGGGGGAGGAGAGGAAGGGGGAGGAGAGGAAGGGGGAGGAGGGAGGGAAGGAGTGACGGGAGGAGGGGTGGGGAAGAGGGATGCAGGACGGGGGGGGGGGGGGAGGGGGGGGGGAGGAGGTCTGGGGAAGGAGGGGCAGGGTACAGAGCTACTTTCACATAACCAGGCTTAAATGCCCAACTGGAACCCCAGATCTGGGGTGGTCGAATTTGGGGATTGGCTCCAAGGCCAGTGGGGCCCGTGGGTTCCCTCCCTAAGCTGGACAGTCCTGTTTTCCTTCCTAGGTTGATTGAAAAGTAAATGAGGCTGGCACAGTTGCTCACACCTGTAATCCTAGCTTCTCTGGAGGCTGAGATCTGAGGATCACAGTTCAAAGCCAGCAGGGCCATAAGAATCCACGAGGCTCCTCCTTCTCTCGCGAACCAGCAAAAAGCTGGAAGTGGAGCTAAGGCTCAAGTGGTAGAGCGCTAGCCATGGACAGCACCCAGGCCCCGAATTTAAGCCCCAGGACTGGTGCACCCACCCCTACACATCCACCTGTACATATACATGTGCATGCACCCACACACGCACGCACACGCGCGCGCGCCACACACACACACACACACACACACACGATAAAACAAGAGGATAAGTTCCTTCAGGCCAGGCTTCCTGGGGAGGGGAGCCAGCCCCCCCTTCCCCCCCAGCTCCAGGGCTGTGGATGTGTGGGGTGGGGGAAGAGCTGGCTCAGCCCTGCGCCCCCTGCAGAGAAACAATAAATCGACAAACACTTAATCTCTCTGCAAATTGAAACCGAAGCCATAAATATCCAGCGCACCCCGCCGCTGAGTTATGAGTCTGGTTTATTAATCTCTTTAGTCTCAGGTGATGGATGGAGGAGGAGAATGGCCGCCTGGGAGGTGGGGGGGGGCGGGTGAGGGGGAAGGGAGAGGAGGGGTCAGGGGTCAGAGGGAGGGGTCTCCTCCAAGGGCAGCAGCGAAGTGGATGGCATTGGCCACCCATCTCCCCAGGGGTCTTCCCTGTCACGAGGACAGTATTCAGAGATGTGGAATGATTTCTCCCGGGTCACACAGCTCCATGGGGTGTGTGTGTGTTAGAGAGAGAGAGAGAGAGAGAGAGAGAAGTTGGGGGAGGGGGGCTTGAATTCAGGGCCTAGGCATTGTCCTTGAGCTTTTTCATTCAGGGCTAGCAAGCGCTCAACCACTTGAGGCACACCTCCACTCCTGTCTTTTTGCTGGTTCATTGGAGATCAGAGTCTGAGTTTTGTTTTCTCCCCCTGGGCTGGCTTTGAACCACCATCCTCAGCTCTCAGCCTCCTGAGGAGCTAGGATTACAGATGTGAGCACCGGTGGGTGGCCGGCCTCTCCCTGTCTCTTAATCTTGAGGGCATTAGCAACCATTCATTCTCTGGGGTTACTGATGGGAAAATGAAGGGACAGGGACATGGGTGAGTGCAGGGAGGCACTTGGGCTGGGAGGCTGGCCTTCTGAGGCTCATCTTCCACCTCCAAGGCTGTGTCTCCCAGAAGCCACAGCTCCTGGGTCTTTGTGCACACTCACAGGACTTAATGGGGTCAACACAGCACCCCCCTCCCCCGCCAAGTTCCACAGAAGATCCTTAGAAGATCCACAGGGTCATGAAAGGAAAAGAAACAAAAGCGGCTCTAGGTGGGGAGGGGAGGGGAGGGGAAGTGTGTATGTGGGGGGGGGGGGGGGAGCTTTCAAAGAAAGAAGGAAAGAAATGAGTTATTTCAGCCACGCGGGCAAGGCAGGAAAACTCTGCTGAATCTTTAAACAACCCTTGTCAATTATTCATCTTCTGGTATGAGGGCCTGCTGGTCTGCCACACATCTCTGAACAAGGCAGTGGGAGAGAGGGAAAAGGAGAGAGGGAGGAAGGAAGGGAGAGAGGGGGAGAGAGGAGAGGAGAGGGGAGGAGAGAAGAGTCTCACAAACTTCCCTGCCCTGGGCTGGCTCTGAATTAGGATCTTTCCAATTTCAGCCTCCTTGAGCAGCTAGGATTGCAGAAGTGAGCCATCGGCGCCCGATATACATTGGTATTATTATTATTATTATTAGGGACTGGGGATTGAACCCCAATGTGACACTTGCCAGGCAATTACCCCCGAGCTACATCCCGGCCCAACATTGTTTCCGTTCTGAAGACAAAGTCAAGGCGAACTGACCCACACCCCACAGATCAGAACCTTATTTGAGAAACGTCTTAAAGAACTTTCCACCAGAGCTGCCCCGTAAATAAAGCCCTTCACCCCCTCCCAGCCCCATTTCACCATGACAGGATGATCACACAGAATTCTCTCTATGGTCCAGACCCTTAGACCCTGGGTCCTTTGCCCAGCTAAGACACGTGACTGCCGTGCCCAGCTCCTGCAGCGAACACAGGGTCTGGGCCCAGGAGGGCAGATGTGCAGCCCATCTGCTCCCAGAGCTCGGGTGGGGTGCAAAGGGGTCCTCAGACTTCAGGCTGAGGTCTGAGGCCTGGTCAGTGGTCCCATCCTGGTTGGACTGAAGTCAAGGCTGCCCTAAGCTGGGGGCGGGTGATGGTGGAAATGTCCTCATTTTCCCTCCAGTCTTCCCTTAGTCCTTTGGCTTTATTCCTTGCCTTCCCTGCCCCCCCCCTTTTTTTTCTTTTGTCAGTCATGGTGCTTGAATTCAGGGCCTAGGCGCTGTCCCTGAGCTCTTGTTGCTCATAGTGCTCTACCACTTCAAGCCACAGCACCACTTCTGGTTTTCTGGTGGTTCACTGGAATAAGAGTCTCATGAAATGGGATCCTTAGATCTCAGCCTCCTGAGTAGCTAGGATGACAGTTGTGAGCCCCCGGCGCCCGGCTTCCTTGGCATTTTGAATAACCTCCTCCCTTTTCTCCTACACTATCCTGCTTCTAGGCACAAGAAGAGTTCTCAGGCCAGGCTGCAGAGGGCTGAGCAATCAATAGATCACTGCTATCAATTCCCAAAAGTTCTCAGGACATGTGTGTGTGTGTGTGTGTGTGTGTGTGTTGGTACTGAGACTCAAACTCAGAACCCGGGTGCTGGTATTCATGTCTGTACTCATAGCTAGTCAGGAAGCTGAGATCTGAAAAATCATGGTTCAAAACCAGCCTGGGCAGGAAAATTCTTACAACCCTTACCTCCAATTAACCCTAAAGTGGAGGTGTAGCTCGAGTGGCAGAGCGCCAGCCGTGAGCGGAAGTTAAGGGACAGCACCCAAGCTCTGAGTTCAAGCCTTAGTACCAGCACTCTATATACACACACACCACACACACACACACACACACACACACTCTCTCACACACACACACTCACACACACACACACACTCACATGCAAGTTGCCAAAGGGGTATGTTTCAAAAAGAAATCATGCAGGGCTCCATTCCAAAGAGAAGAAGCAGAGAAGAAAGAATCCAGACCAGCCATTGGTGGGTGGCCTTGGTGTCCCACCCCCTCAGGCAACCACTCACCGTGTCCTGGGGCAGCTCCAGCACCTGGGGCTCCTCTTCCAACTCCTGGATCGCGGATGGACTGGCTACGTTGACTGACAGCTTGGACCAGGACTCACGGATGGAGCCCAGTTTCTCGTCGAGGATCTTCAAGTCCAGGATGGGTAGATTCTTGACGATGCCAGGTGTCAAGAAGTGTTCTGGCCTCTAGGAGAAGACACAGAGAGTCTCAAGACAAGGACTTTCTCTACCAGCCTCCGGTCCTCCTGGCTGTGGACCTTGGCCTTCCCGCCTGGGTCCTGGGTCTTAGCCATGCTCTTCTGCTGCTCCGATCATCCCAGCTCCTCCCTTGCTTCAAGGCCTTGACATCTTTCTCTGCGCTTCTGATGATGCCTTTCTCCTTCTGTCTCCTCCTCCTGCTCCTCCTCTTCTTCTTTCTCTTCCTCCGCCTCTTCAGTCCCTCGCTTCCATTCTCATCTCTGTGTGTCTAAATCCTCACCCCACTCCAGCCCCTCCCCCAGGAAACCCAGCCACCTAAGTCCACACTTGCTGACAATTTTTGTCACCAAACCAATTTCTTTGTTTCCCCCCAGCCCAGCAGTTTGGCTGTCTGTCTGTGCTTTCTGATAAAACCTTAAGTTCCTTAGGCCTAGACATATGTCTGGGCTCCTGCTGAGGAGGAGTCACTATAAAACTTTTTCTTTTAGCTGAGTGCTGGTGGCTCATGCTTGTAATCCTAGCTACTCGGGAGGCTGAGATCTGAGGATCCAGCCAGCCTGGACAGGAAAGTCCGTGAGACTCTTATCTCTAATAAACCACCAGAAAATTGGAAGTGGTGCTGTGGCTCAAGTGGTAGAGCGCTCACCTTGAGTTGAAATGCTCAGGGACAGTGCCTAGGCCCAGAGTTCAAGCCCCTTGATGGTCAAAAAAAAAAAAAAACAACCAAACAACAAAACCTTTTTCTTTTATCCTGTGGTATTGGGTACTAGGGTCTTGAACTCAGGGCTCAGGAACCACAAACATCTGACTAAACTCTCTGTCTCTGGTTAGCTGCAGAAGGACTGATACTAAGTGCTATACTGGATGAATGGATGGATGGATGGATAGAAAGATGTATGGACCAATGGACAGACAACTGCACAGATGGATGAATGGATGGATGGACCAGTGGACAGATGGATGAATAGAGGAAAGATGGATGGAGGAGTAGATGGATAGGTGGAAGATGGATGGACAGGCAGACCAACCAATGGATGGACGGATGGGTGGACCAATGGCTGGATAAATGGACAAATGGATTGAAGGATGGACAGATGGAAGACTGGAAGGACAGACAGATCAACAAACAGCTTGGATAGATGGGTAAATGGACAAACAGATGGAAGGATGGATGAATGGACAGAGAGCCAACAGACAGATGGACAGGTGGACAGAGGAAAGCATGAAGGCAAAGGCCACCTTCCCCATGTCCAGGTGTCTCCCGGGGCTTGGATGAGATGGTAATTCAAAGCACGTAATGACATTTCTCCTCATTTCCAGGCGGAAGGCCAGTCTTGATGCTCTGGATTTCATAGACTGCCGTCTAATCCAGTTAGGGGAGGAAGCAGAGGTAATGCAATCAGGGGAAGTGGCTGCCGCCAAGACAGCACGGCAAACTGTTACTGAGAACAACCCTGAGAGCAGGCCTCTGGTGGGCAGAGGTCTGCGTGGAGGAGGAGGGGAGGGGGAGGAAGAAGAAGGGGAGGGAGCAGGTGGCTGGGGTGGGGTGGGGTACAGACCCACCCCACGGGCCTGTTTGCTTTTCTAGTTGACTGCCAAATGGCCTTGTCCGTGGCTACAGCCCACCCTGCTTCATTAAGACCATCACTGGAGATGGATTTTGAACGCTCAAAGCTATGCACAGCCATGAACATGTTTAGACCGGGCAGGGCCTTTGTGCGGTGGCTGCTGTCCACGTGGATGCCCTCCCTTCCCCTCCCCTCCCTTCCCCTTCCCACCTTTTCCCTCTTTCTCCCCTGCTGACCCTCTGAGCTCCCAGCCCAGAGCTGGGGTCTCTTTGGAGACTGATCAGGGCCAATAGCGTTCCAAGCTTGTGGCTTTTCAGATCATCTGTTTCTTCCCTACCCACCCCCCACCTCTCCACATGCTCCCCCCCCCCCATCCTGCTGTAGCCTCTCATCATGTAAAATGCAACACCTCCCTCCAAAGCAAGCCTGCCCGGGCAATTACAGGCTAGCCAGGCCACTGCCGCCGCTGTCCTTGGTGCTGAAAAAGAAGTCCTGCCCGCCCCTCGCATCCCTCCCCAGCCTTCCAGCCGGGGTTCTTAATTCAATTAGCCGGCCCAGAGCCCTCCCCAGGGAGCCGGGAGCGGAAGCTGACAAATTCTGTTTAACAAAGACATTTGTCCCCCCACACACCCATCGGCTTTGGGCTCTGTTCCGTATCTCTCACTCATTAGGTATCTAACAAAGTGAGTCCCTGGATCTGCTTCCAATCGCTAGTAATTCAGGAGGCCTGACACAATTTTCTCCCTGATAAAGGGAGGTAATGAGGCCCTGGACAGCGGGTTCCTCGATTAGTCTCGGCTTTGTCATTTCCTGGGGCCTCCACCACCGCCCTTGTGGGTTCTTATCGCTTTCTGCGGTAGGCGAGGCTCAGACAAACCTCCTCCCCTGCCCGCCCACCGCCCCAAGCCGCCTGGCTGGTGCTCTGCAGGCTGCTTTTATGGCAGAAGCTAGGGAGCATTGGAGCCCTGTCTCCCAGCCCAAGGTCCCAGGGTCATTACTTGGTGAGGCCATACTTTCATTTCCTGGAATAGGGTGTCAAAAGCTTAATCCAAAAGCAACCTGTGGGGTCAGGGGAGGGGGAAAGGTGAAGTTTTGTTTTGTCAGCCATGGGGCTGGAACTCAGGACCTGGGTGCTGTTCCTCAGTTCTTTTTACTCAAGGCTAGCGCTCTACCACTTTGAGCCAATACAGCTCCATTTCTAGTTTTCTGGTGGTTCACTGGAGATCAGAGTCTCTCAGAATGTCCTGCTCAGGCTGGCTTTGAACCGTGATCCTCAGATCTCAGCCCTCTGAGTAGCTAGGATGACAGGCGTGAGCCACTGGCATCTTTATTTTTGTATTTCCTCCCTGACCCGGCCAGCTCTGGTCAAGACACAGTGGGCCTTTTCAACAGATCTGGCATCCAGAGAGATTAATCACCTGTCTCTTTATTTCTCCATTGTCTGAAAAATCGCTGAGAAATCAAATGGGCTGCGGGTGACTTGGTTTCTCCGTGGCGCATGATGAGGTCTGGGGGCCTGTCTGGGGCGGATATGAAGCGGCAGAGCAGCTGTCGGGAGCGGAGAGCTCTGAGTGATGGATTGGGGGCTCCACAGGAGCCCCAGAGCCTGTGCAAGGCCCTGGGGGGCACAGCATGCTTTGTCAGCAGCTAAGGTGAACCATATGAAGAACCTCCTGACTGACGGACAGCCAGTCCCTGCCACCTTCCTGGCTGGTGGGGATGTGAACCCCTTTTGTGGATGAAGAAATTGAGGGGAGGTCCAGGATGCAAACCCAAGTCTGGGGTCTCCTCAGAGGGGCCTCAGGGGCTGCTCGGCCCCTCCCTCCAGGAGGGTGGCATGGACTGAAAGTGGTCACTACTCCACCCTTAATCTCAGCCCCTCAATTTCACCTCCCTGGAGCAAACCCCAGGATGGTGCTTGGTTTCTGGTTTTCCTGGGGGACTGGGGGTGTCAACCAGATCCAGGTGGACCAGACTTTGGAGAAGCTGGAGATGAAGCCGCTCTTGGGTGTTTATTCAATAGCTAACAAGTCAGCAGAGCTCATGGATGCACTGTTCATCTTATCCAAGTCATGGCATCAGCCAGAGGCCTCTCGATGGACCAGTGGATCAAGAAAATGTGGAAGAAGCTGGGGCCAATGGCTCATGCCTGTCATCCTAGCTACTCAGGAGGCTGAGATATGAGGATCATGGTTCAAAGCCAGCCTGGGCAGGAAAGCCTGTGAGACTCATCTCCAGTGAACCACCAGAAAGCCAGATGTGGAGCTATGGCTCAAGTAGTAGAGCATCAACCTTGAGTAAAGAAAAGCTCAGAGACAGCACCCAGACCCTAAGTTTAGGCTCCAGACCTGCTTCAAATAAGAAAGAAAGAAAGAGAGAGAGAGAGAGAGAAGGAAGGAAGGAAGGAAGGAAGGAAGGAAGGAAGGAAGGAAGGAAGGAAGGAAATGTGGAGTAGATACACAATGGAATTTTACTCCTCCATCAGGAAGAATAATCTTATGTCACTTTCAGGGAAATGGATGGACTGGGAAGAAATTCTATTAGGTGAAGTGAGTCAGGCTCTGAGAACAAAAGCACCTGTGTCCTTTCCTAGGTGGAAATTAGATCTAATTTATACATGCATATGTAAGCATGCAGAAAGTGACATGCACGCAGACTCTAACCTATTGACTCCAGTATGTGTTCCACGGCAGAGGAGTTCAAAGGTGTAAGTCCTTTGAATGACTAACTTAGAGTAGAACAAAAATGAACCCCAGGAAGCGGGAAACTGAGGGGTGTGTGTGTGTGTGTGTGTGTGTGTGTGTGTGTGTGTTGGGGGGGAGTTAGATGAATGGAGAGAGGAAGGGTTGGTGAGCGCAGTTGTAATTTTCAGTGCACATCTGTGTAAGTGGAACCAGGAAAATTGCAGGGAGGGGCGGGGCTGGGGAGACCCAGGAGTCTGCTGGGAGGGGTGGCATTGATCAGGATGCGCTGCCCTGGTAAACTGACATGTTGAATTGAAACCCCTTTGTACAACTAAAGATAATAAAATAAAGAATTAAAAATAAATATATACGATACACAGCAGAAGCTGGAGGGCACCCAGACCGCCAGATCATTAAGAGAGGCTGCTGAGCCAGGAGCAACAGAGCCTCCCAGAGGACCAGACTCCTCCCTTCAAAGAGAAGAGGCTGAGATCAGAGGCACAAAGGAGATCGGAGGCCGGCCAGGCTTGCGCTCGGGTGGGCTAGACATGGCCTCAGGCTCCTGGATTCTCAATGTGTAAAGATCTGTGAAGGCCAAACCTCCACTGGCTGCCAGGGAGAGAGATCTTTCTGTACCTGTGTAATTCTAGCTATTCATGAGGCTGAGATCTGAGGATCCTGGTTCAAAACCAACCCCGTGCAAGAAAGTCAGTGAGACTCTTTATCTCCAAATAAACCAGCAAAGGCATGAAAGAAAAAGAAAGCCAGCTGGGAGCCAATGGTTCATACCTATAATCCTAACTATTCAGGAGGCTGAGATCTGAGGACTGCGATTCGAAGCCAGCCTGGGCAGGAAAGTCCATGAGACTTATCTCCCATGAACCACCAGAAAACTGCAAGTGGCGTTGTGGCTCAAGTGGTAGAGCGCTCGCCTTGAACTAAAGAGCTCAGCAACAGTGCCCAGGCCCAGAATTCAAGCCCCATGACTGACCAAAATAAAAAAAGCCAGAAGTAGAGCTGTGACTCAAGTGGTAGAGCGCCAGCTTCGAGAGACATAGAAGATGAGGGACAATGCCCAGGCCCTGAGTTCCCTAGCAGGAGCCGCATAAAACAAGACAAACAAACCCAAAAAATCAGAATTATCAACATAAGCCAATTCTCAGGCAGAATTCCCATGCAACAGCTGAGCCACAAAGAGATCTGCATGTGCCAAGCGAAGTGTGAAGCCGCCTGTCACTTTACACACGTGTGAGCACGCATGCTTGGATGCATGTACAGATGTGTGTGTGTGTGCACGCGCATGCGTGGATGATCAGCTAGTCCTTGTGCGGAATCTGCATGTACAATGAATTCTTGGCTGTTGGTTTTGAATTTCCCCTAGTGCCATTTTCCTGGCGCCCCCCCCCCATGCCCTGCCCCCCAATCTTCAGCTCTCGTTCTCTTTCTTGGAAATCCATGTTCTAAAAGGTGTTCCCCAACCCCCCCGCCCTTCCCTGCCACGAGGGGAGGAGGCTGAGGAGAAGGTGGAGGCTCCAATCACCAGCCCCAGATCAAACCCCTCACTGGGGGAAATGAATTCAGGGGAGCGCTCCCGCATGACTCCCACAGATAATTTATTGCAGCCGCCAGCTGCAAAGGGAAAGAATTAATCCTGCACTTAGCACAGATCCGTGAATAATTCATCACGAGGCCCAGCGCCAAGCCCTGGGTGTGGGGAAGGGCTCTGCCTGCCCGCCTGTTGCCGGCCAGGCTCTCAGTCGGACCATCATTCGAGCCTTATGGAGGTCCAGGGAGGTAAGGAAGGGCCCGGAGAGGCCAGGGAGGTTGAGCTCTGATCTGGGAGATGTGGGGGGAGATTCTTCTCGAAGGACCCACTTTTTTGGGAGCCTGTCTGCTTCTCTGGTGACCTTTTCCCAGGCAGGAAGTTCCTGTGTGGCTCCTGTTTTTGGCCTGTGGTAAAGAACCAACCAAGGCCCGGCACTCGGAGCTACTCAGGAGATCTGAGGATCATGGTTCAAAGCCAGCCGGGGCAGGAAAACCTATGACTCTTATCTCCAATGAACCACCAAAAAGCTGGAAGTGTCACGTGGTTATACCTCCTCCAGCCTTTTTTTAGGGGGTTATATTTTCAGTGTCTTGGGCTTTTTGTTTTTGTTTTGCCATGTTCGTCTTCCTGAGTGGCTGAGATTACAGGCTTGCACCACCACACCTGGCTTGTTTGTTGAGATGGGGTAGCCCCGCCTCACCTGAACAGAACCCAGGACAGTGGCCCAGGATGGAAGGCCCTAGTCTAGAAGATTCTCTGCCCTCAGCTCTCTCTCTCTCTCTCTCTCTCCCTAATCTCTGCTGCCTGGAGCCTTCAATCACCTTCAGACATTTCCACCCAACGCAGCAGACTCCCCCCACCCCCCACCCCACTTTCTGGAGTCCTCTTGCCCCGACTCTGAAAGTGAAGGGCTGCGGTTGGCCTTGACCAAGCCCCGCTTGAAGCCTTACCTCGGAGGAGATCAGCTGCAGGGAGAAATCCACTGTGGGGGCTTCGCCTGTGATGGTCTTCAAGCCGGTGTCCTGGGGGGAGGAGGGGCTGTCAAGGCTCCACCCCTGCTCTGGCCCCTCCCACCCCAAGGTGGAGAGGGAGGGAGGGAGGAGGCAGGAGCTCAACTTCCTCCCCGACTCCGCCCTTCCCAACCCCACTCTACACCCGACCTCCAGGCTCATCTGCTGATGGCGCGGGAACTCTCCCGCTTCCCCCACCCCTCCATCCCTGTGTGAGTCCTGGGGTTTGAACTCAGGGCCTGCTCATCCCCAGACCATGACTCTAATGACACATCCTAGCCATGTTCTTCCCTTCTCTTCTCCTTCAGCCTCTTGACAGCCGGGACTACAGGTGTTTGTTGCCACACCCGGCCCGTCTTAAAAATGACTGAGCTCAGAGAGATGGTGCAACGGGACCCCCTGGAATTGTTTTTCCCTGTGCTTTGTAGTCATTATCTCCAGGACCCATCGGAGCAGGGGGTCTCTGGGTCTTTAACCCCAGGGGGCCAGACTGGTGTTTGGTATTGTGGCATTCCCTGACATATACAAGGGTTGGGACCCAGCCAGGGTCAGGACCATCTCCGATGGCCTCCAGGGGACAAGCACACGGGCAGCCCCCCCAGGGGACAAATCACTCCATCTCTGTGACCTGAGTCCTGACTTTGAAGACAGAAGTGCAGTGTCAGGGCCGGGCATGGTTGGATCCACCTGTAGTCCTGGCCTTCAAGGATGAAGCAGTTAACCATGCTGTGTTCTCTGGGGTGTGCTGAGGTGGAGTGGGGGGGCAGGGCTGGGCTGGGGGGGGTGACCCGTTGGGAGGGAGGTGGGGGGGGACTCACACTGATGGGAAGCCGTTCCACGTGCAGCCCACTCAGGCCTCGGCCTGTCAACATCTTGCGGTACAGACGGTTGTTCAGCGGCAGCACAGAGATGCCCAGAGGGGGGCCGAGGGCCCAGGGCTCCCCGCTTTTCGCTGAGGGAGAAGAGCCAGCTTCGGGGGGGGTCCCCACTTGATACGCCACCCACCCTGCTTCTCAACGCCAACCTCGGACTCCCTACCCTCCACCCCGGACCTACATCTTTGCATCTGGTTCTGGTCCCCACTAACTTACATCAAGCCCTGCTCCCCCCCCACACCCCCTCCCTGTCTTCAGGGCTTTGGGAACTCAAAGCCAACTCTGATTCTGGCCGAGTGTGGTAGCGCACGCCTTTCATCCCAGCGACTCAGCAGGTTGAGATCTGAGGATTGAGGTTCAAAGTCAGCCTGGGCAAGAAAATCTGCGAGAGACTCTCTCTCCAATAAGCCACTGGAAAAGGCAGAAGGGGCGCTGTGGCTCAAGTGGTCGAGTGCCAGCCTTGAGCAGAAAAGCTCAGGGACAGCGCCCAGGCCTTGAGACCAAGCCCCAGGACTGGACACAACAAGCAGATTCTGTATCTGTGGGTGTTCCTGGACGGCCCTGTCTGTGTGGATTGGCTGAATTGTCGCCTGCTATCACTGCAGTTCACTCTGGGAGCTGTGAGGTCCCGCCCCCACCGCACTGTACCCTGGGAGGCCCTGACCCCACTGCAGTGCATCCTGGGAGCTGGGTGAATGAAGACCCCTGTGTTGGGCATGGGCCCACGGGTCTTGCAGCTCCATGGACAAGGAAGCCAGCCGGTTCTTCTCAACTCCTCTGCCTTCTGCCTGGCACCTGGGAGCCAATGAACCTAGCCCTGCAGGCAGGAGGCAGGGCGGGGCCCGTAGCCCCAGACACGTACTGGAGATGGCGCTGTAGAACTCCAGGACCAATGCCCTGTCCTCCGAGAAGCTGGTGGCTCCATCACGGCCTTGGAAGAGGAAGGACTGGTTCCATTCGGGCTGCTCCAGAGAACTCCCAGGCCTGGACAGCTGCAAGGAGAGGGTGGAGGCCCAGCTATGGAGGCGCGGCTATGGAGGCCTGAATCAAGCCAGAAACAATCTCTATAGCCGGGCGCTGGTGGCTGAGCCCTGTCTTCCTAGCTCCACAGCAGGCTGAAATCTGAGGACTGTGGCTCAAAGCCAGCCTGGACCGGAAAGTCCGTGAGACTCTTATCTCCAATGAACCAGCAAAAAGCTGGGAATGGAGGCATGGCTCCAAGTGGTAGAGCGCCAGCCTTAAATGCAATAAGCTAAGGTCCTGAGTTTTGGTATTGGTGGACTTCCATGAACGGAGCAGGAAAGGACTCAGCAGGATGGAGGGGAGAAGGGGAGATGGGAGGGGGCGCAGAGGTTAAAACATGGGCAGGGCCTGCAGTGACCAGTACCGATGCCACGTTGCTGGGCTGAGCACCAGGGCATCAGAATAGCGGCTCCCACCTCCCCGGGCCCTGGAGCATCCGTCCTCTCTGAGAGCGCTCGCTGCTGCTGTAGGAGCCATGGTTGGGAGATCAAGGATTATCATCAATGGGGGGGGGGGGGTAGGGGGCCAGGGAATGGGGTGGGGGGTAGCCACTGAAGCCTGTCCTACTAATGTGTCCACCCTGGTCCTCCCGGGCCTGCCCTAGGCTCGGCGTGGTGTCAGCCTCTGTCCCCAGGGAGCTTGGCCATGCTAAGTGCCGGGCATGGGGGCGTGGGGCGGGGAGGGGGTGTGTGACACTGCTAGAAATTCAGGGATGGCCCCTGCCTAGGTTCTGTGGAGCTTGAGGGGGGAGCCCCCCAAGCCACATCCCTTCTCAGAGCCACTTCCTTCCCCTGGGTGCCAGAGGCCAGCTGTCTAGGCACCAGGGTGCTGGGGGGAGGCATGTGCCGGTCCTTCAGCAGGTCTAGCCTCCATCCTGGAAGATGGAGCCGGTGTAATGCGTGTTCCCCGCGTGTGCTCTGCAGGTGAGGGGCTGGGCCTGGGGAGGACAGGGGGGGTTCCCTGAGGGGCTTCTCAGAGCAGGTGTCCCCTCCCCCAGGAGAGAGCCCCTCACCCCGAGAATGGAGGAATGGGCGGGGTCCCTGCCCTGGTGTGTGTGAGCTCACGCTTGGAGGACCGAAGGCTAAACAGCCTGCAGCCTGCCTCCAGACGCCTGGTGGGAGGTTCTAGAAGCTGAAGTGGAGGCCAGGGGTGGGGTTGGGGTGCAGATGCTAAGGTTAGGAACTGTGGCGGGCTGCGGGATTAAGGAATCCGATTAACCTTTAACTGTGATCTTCAGAAAAGCCATTACCCTTGAGGGTCACTGAGGCACAGCGGCCTTCCCTGGGGACGGCCCCTCTCCTCCCCCCCTCTCCTCTGGGCTCCACACCCACCCCTACCATGCTGGGAGGAGTCAGGCCCCATCTTGGGCCGGTCTCAATCTTGTCATGTGACCTTCATTGAGGGCCCCCCCGGCCCGCCCCCCCGCTTCTCATGGCTCAGTGGGGAAACCTGTCTTGTGCTCCACACCCCGAAAGCCCTCCCTGTCATGAGGCTGAAGGAAGGAGAATGGGCATGTTGCCATGTAAAGGGGGAGGCATCACGGCTGGGCACTGGTGCTCACACCTATAATCCCAGCTAGACTCCTATCAGCCCTGAACCACCAGAAACTCCAGAAGTGGTGCTATATGGTTCAACGTGGTAGAGCGCTCGCCTTGAACTCAGGGACGACCAACCAAAACAAAAGAAAACAACAACAAAAACACAAGTAAAAGCATGGAGGCCCCAAGTTCAAGTCCTAGTTACCAGCAGCACCGAAAAGAGAAGCAAAGCCCCAGGCCCACCTCTACCTCTGTAGAGATGGAACTGACACACAGGGGGACAGGGCGTGTGTGTGTGTGTGTGTGTGTGTGTGTGTGTGTGTGTCTATGTGTGTGTGAGCTCTGAGCCCAGTGCTTGGGGCGGGGGGGGGGAGGGAAGGAGGGGAAGATTCCACCCCTCACACCCCACTCCTCCACTTCAGCCTCTACTTTTCCTGCTGGTTCTGGGCGCCAGCCAGCTCCCCTCCTCCCCACCCCTGCCCAGATGCCACAGTGTCCAGTGACGCTGCCACACCTCCGGCCTGGAGTGTCCCACATGGGGGAGGGGTGGGGGGCTGGGGTAGGGAGGGGCTGACAGGCAGGGAGCAGCCAAGAAGGGGAGGAAGAGGAGGGCGGGGGAAGGGCTCCCTCATTAACACAGGCCATGTCCCCCCCCCCCCCCCAGGGACGGCCACTGATTGGTTTATAATTTCCTGGGCAAATGCAGAGCGGTGTGTGAGATGGCTCTGGGGAAATCAAGGCTGGGATTGGTTTGGGTTGGAAGCTTCTGTCCCAGGACGCCCTCACTCCTGTCTGTGTCTGAGCTTTCTTCAAGTGTCTTTGCCCTGAAATGAGAGGCTGGGGCTCCATAGGGGTGTCTTGTCCTAGTTTTCCTTGTCAGACATGTACCTTGGTGGACACACAACAAGAGGAACTTCCAAGATCAGCCTTGCGCAGGACAAGCTCACACCGAAGTGGGGGCCCTCCCCGGAGTGGGGGTGGGGACCAACCTCACCATACCTCTGAACCCTGGTCAGGATCTGTATACCCCTCCCCAACCCTTCTCCCCTCCAGGCTCCCCAGCCCACCCTCCCAACTGGCTCTTCCCCAACTCACCCAGCCACAACCCCTCTGACTTAAAACGGTACCAGTGGCTCACACCTGTAATCCTAGCTACTTGGGAGGCTGAGTTGTGAGGGCGTGGACGCTGTCCCTGAGTTTTGTTTTGTTTTGTTTTCCCACTCATGGCTGGTGTTCTACCACTTAAAACACAGTGCCACTTCCAGATTTTTTTTGGGGGGGTGAGGAGGGGGGCAGGTTGGTTCATTGGAGATGAGTCTCATGGACTTTCCTGCCCAGGCTGGCTTTGAACCTGGATCCTCAGATCTCAGCCTCCTGAGTAGCTGGGATGTGGGGCGTGAGCAGCAGCACTCGGCTGTGACTCAGTGATGTATGATCTGGGTTGGTGCTTGGTATTTCCATACATGGGGACCCCATCTTTACTGGGAGCTCCCCACAAGCAGGTCAGCTGGGCCTCTGTGGCAGAGGGAGCTGCTGAGGGGTTGATGGGAGGGGGAAAGGGGGAGATGGGGGGCAGTCGTACCTGGGGGCACCCATTCGGGCTGGCCCGAGGGACGTCAAGGTTCATCATGGAGGAGATGGGGAAGGAGAGGGAGGTGATGGGGAGACCCATGAAGCTGTGATCCTGGCTGGCCCGGCTGTTCCTGGAGGGGTGAAGAGACAGGGGTCGGCACAGGGGTCCCATGACCCACTTGGAGCAGAGGGGAGAGGCTCGGGGCCGCCTGGGCCAGGCCTGGGCTGGGGCACGGCCGCTGTCCATGGTCCTGGCTGCCGCAGAGACACGGCCCCCACACCTGGGGTCCTGGAGACCGCCTGGGCGCATGCATGTACACACATGCACACATGTCAGTGCATGCACACACACGCGTGCGTGCACACACGCACATTTGATGCACGTGCAGGCTTGTGCAGTGCCATGCATGCACGTGCACACCTGTGTGTATGTATGTGTCCATGTATGGGGGCATGTGTGTGGGGCAAGCCCATGTGCACACGCACGTGTGCACACACATTCATCAGATGGAGGACATGGGGGTGCAGGGTGCGGGAGGATGTGGGGGTTGGAGTCCCTGCTGCATCTTTTGGGGGCCCGCAGCCACTGGGGTCCCACACAGAGCGGGGGAGGGGAGGGTTGAGGCGGCCCCGGGAGGGAAGGTTCCAGATCACCTGAAACCACACCCCACTCACTTAAACTCATTGTAGTCAGGCACCACGCGTGCGACCACCATGATCGGGCTGGTGTTGTTGGCCAGGGGCTCGTTGATGCCCCGGAGAAAGACCTGAAAAAGAAACGATCTCATTGGTCACCTCCTGAGTCCTCCCTGATCCCCCCCTGCACCCCACCACGGCCGCCCCTCCTCCGCTGGGCTCTGGGTGGCTTTGCTCCCATTCTCCATAGCCGCTCAGAAGGCAAGGCGCAGCGAGACACCCCCCCCCCCCCACACACACACTTCCCCAAAGAACCCAGGCAAAAAAAAGGGACTCCAATTCCACCGCTACACACGGACTCGGCTGAGATCCACATTCACCATCTCCCTCGTTTGGCTCCAGTCTCTTTTCTCCCCTCAGTCTCTCATGCCTCAGGGCCTTTGCACATGCTGATCCCTCGATTTGGATTCTCCATCTCCCACAACCCGTCATGGTATCATGGCTGGTGCTTTGCCTCTGAGCCACCTTCTGTCTTTGTCACTATCTCAGCCCACCACTGTCTCTTCTCAGCACTTCTGCGTCTTCTACTTTCCTTCTTTTTCTTTTTGGTAGGTAATAGGTCTTGAACTCGGGGCCTGGGTGCTGTCCCTGAGTTTTGTGTTTGCTCAAGGCTAGTGCTCTACCACTTTGAGCCACTTCCTTCACTTATTTCTTGTTTCTTTTTAGTTTGGCTAGAAACCAAGCTCTGCTTTTTGTTCTGGTACTGGGGCCAGAACTCAGGGCTTGTGCACTATCCCTTAGCTTTCCAAGGTTGAAGCTTTACCATTTGAACCACACACAGCTCCATCTTGCAGCATTTACTTATTTATTTATTTTATTCATTCATTCATTCATTCATTCATTTATTGCTGGTTAACTGGAGACGAGAGTCTTACAAATTTTCCTGGGCTGGATTTGAACCTCCATCCTCAGATCTCAGCCTTCCTGAGTAGCTGGGATTACAGGCGTGAGCCACAGCACCCACCTGATTTTTCCACTCTTGATCCTTTTCCCCCACACCCCACTGGCTCATGCACACGGGTCAGCCAGAGGTGTGTGGGGGGAGGAATCTGGGGTTTGTTCAAAGTTAGGCCCCTTCCCAGTCCACCTGCCCACCCCAGAGGTCCCCGGGGGTGGGCAGCTACCTCCAGGGCGGTGTGGTCACAGCCAATGTAGCGAGGAAGAAAGCTGCTTTTCCGAATGATGGTGGCGTAGAGTCGCGTCTTGTCAGCATCTTCATTGGGTTTTCCGGGCTGAGTGGGCTGCAGGCCAGGCGGGCGAAGAAGATACACAAGAAAGACAAGAGTCTCAGGGCCAAGCTTGGCCATAAATCCACTGATCATTGGGCATTGCTCCACCGGGGCTCACAGCTGATAATTAAGGCTCATGGTCCCCTCGAGCCCTTCCAAGATCAATAGAATAAATCTTTGCTTTTCCATTTGAATGTTTCATTGCCCTTAGAAGGACCCTGGCCGGGCGGAAGGAAACAGGGCCTTGGCTGATGCTGCCCATCTCCAGTGCCATGGGGCAGGGCCCGAGTCAGGAATCCAGACAACCTCATCTCCTTGGTGTGTGTGTGTGTGTGTGTGTGTGTGTGTGTGTGTGTGTGCGCCAGTCCTGGACACTGTCCCTGGGCTTTTGTGCTCAAGTCTGGAGCGCTACCACTTGAGCCACAGCTCCACTTTTGGGCTTTTCTGCTGGTTCATTGGAGATAAGAGTAAGTATGTCATGGACTTTCCTGCCCAGAGTTGGCTTCAAACCTCTCAGCCTCCTGAGTGGCTAAGTGTGAGCCACCAGGGCCCGGCTGGCCTCATTGTCCCTTCTCCCAACCACTCTAGGGGAGAGGGAAGAGCAGACAATGGTGCTCATATGTGGCCCGATGCCTAACACTTAGCAGGTGCTTAATTAAAAACCTGAACAATGCCAGACGGGCCTAATGTCCAGCCATTAGCACCAGCAGGGGACAGGGAGCTAACCTGGTTGTTCAGGCCAGTGGCAGAGAGGCCCCAAAGCGTTTGTACATCAGGCCAGTGGTCAGCTGCATTCTGGGAAGGGTGTGTTCCCACAATGCCTTGCAGATGCATCCCCACAATGCTTCGAAGCTGCATTCACACAATGTCTTGCAGGTGCATACCCACAATGCCTTGCAGGTGCATCTCCACAATGTTCCCAAAATGTCTTGTCTGCCACACCCCAACTCCCCTGGGCCTCCCTCCACCCATAAGCCATGCAGAGACAGCACAGAAAGACCCAGCCTGCAGACAGGCGTCACTGGATGCTCCCTCAGTTCTGCCATCGGAGGATATTCGCGCTTCCCATCAGATCTGCACACCTCACCGAGGTTGGGGGCTGGGGCCTGCGGTCTGACTCACCTTCACCAGCTCAAAGTGGTAGGGGTGGAAGATGCATAAGTACTTGATGGGGATCTCGTAGGACACCAGCTCCTTCTTCTTCTTCGTGTCTATCACCTTGATGACCAGATCTAGAGGCAGCAAAGGAAGAGTACAAGGCCTGGCACCGGTGCTCATGCCTGTGATCCCAGCGACTCAAGAGGCTGAGGTCTGAGGGTCGCAGTCTGAGGACAGTCCTGGGCAGAGAAGTCCTTGATACTCTTATCTCCAATTAGCCAGCAAAAGAAAGCCAGAAGTGGAGGTGTGGCTCAAATGGTAGAGCACCAGCTTTGAGTAGAAAAAGCTCAGGGACAGTAGCTCAGGCCCCAAGATCAAGCCCCAAGACCTGTGCATACACACACACACACACACACACACACACACACACACCTTAACAAGCCTTCAGCTTCCTTCTTCACCCCCCCTCCTCCCCCCTCCCATCCAACTGACCCATCTGTATTCAAGTCACCAGGGAACTGGTTGGGGGGGGGGGGGGGGGCGCTGTCCACGGTGCTGAAATATTCTTCCTCCCATTCAGCCCCATTATCTGTCATTCATTTCTCCTTGCCTCCATCTCCCTCAGCCCTTGTCCGCCCCTCCCTCACTTCCTCTCCTCCCTCCCTCTCCTCCAATCACAGACTTCCAAGAACAAGGGGGGAGGGGAGGTGGCCTCTCCTGACTGCTTCCCGGCTGTGCCGCGTTGACCTACTTAGGACTCCGCGCCCCCCCCCCCCCCCCCCCCGCTCCCAGGTCCACCTTGTTCTAACCCCAGAACAAGGATTTGTTGCCATCAGAGACGAGTGGTTCCCATCTCTAGGCCTGGCAAGGAGCCGGTGGTCACTAAGTACATGCAGCGCCATTGCTTCCAGGATTATTCCCCCCTGCATGTGCATGCATGCCAGTAGTGGGGAATCTTGAACTCAGGGCCTGGGTTTTGTTTAGTCAAGACTGGTACTCTACCCCTTGCACCACAGCCCCACTTCTGGCTTTTTTTTTTTTTTTGCTGATTCATTGGAGACTCCACATAGAGCTTCCCTATGACCCAGCAATCCCACATTGGGCATTTACCTGAATGATCACAAACAAGACCATAATAAAGCTACCAGCACAAGTATGTTTATTGCAACATTATTTACCATAGCTAAGATATGGAACCAACCAAGATGCCCCTCAGTAGATGAATGGGTCAAGAAAATGTGATATGTATACACACACACACACACACACACACACACACACACACACACACACACACAATGGAATTCTATGCCTCCATCAGAGATCTTCATTATAGCAATTCTAACTGGGGTGAGGTGGATTCTCAATGCTGTTCTCATTTGCAGTTTCACAGACGTTCCCGACCTGAAGAGATCTGAAGTCAGTGCATTTGGGGTTCCAGCAAAGACATGAACTCTGCTCTGTGTCCTTCGCGAGTCACTTAGCCTCTCTGAGCCTCACCTACCTGCTCTGCAGAAGTGTTAATGCTTTAAACAAACACATACCAGGTGCAGATAAAAAGCCCTGCCTTACCCCTAGGATTGATCGGGCAAGAAGCTTGGGCTTCCAGCTAGAAAATTCTGTGCCAGGGGACTCGGCTGGACCTATGTTTCCCCTTGCTGACCACGAGACCACTCCGCTGGAGGAGCCCAGCCCTCTCAGCTTAGACTCCGGTCACTATGGAGGCTGCAGCTGCTCCCGCCCTCTCCCCATAGACCCAGAGTGCTCACATCCTAGGCGGATCTGAGGCCCCTGTATCTCCTCCAGTTCCCTGCCTGGGGCAGGCAGCAGGGAGCTGTAATGAGGGGCCCCAGCAGTTGTGGGGGGGGGGGGGGTCCCTCCCTGCTGCTGTCGGCAGACCGCAAGCACGCTTCATCAGCTCCCAGGCTGGGCATTGTGCCCTTCCGGCCTCCCAGGGCTCCCTTTGTGTGTGGCCAACAAGCCATTTCTGCCGCCTGCCCTGCTCTGGCCCTGACCCAAGGCTGAAACACCCCTTTGCTTTTCATTAACACGTCCCCTTCCCGCCTCCTGTCCCAGCCTTGCCCCCCCGCCCCCGTGCCCCTCCCACACTGCACATCACCACAGCAACCGGTTCCAACTGGGTTCAACACCAGCCCTTCAATCCGGGCTTGCTCAGGCTGTCTCCTCAGCTGCATGTCCCTCCTACGGTCAAGACCTACTTCCTGCCTGGCCTGCTGCCCGCCTGACCTGCTGCCCGCCTCCTGCACGGGGCCACCGACCCCGGAGCATCCTCTCTCTCGATCTAGGTGTGCCCAGCCCGCACGAGCCAGTGTGTAGGCACGCACAAGCACATAAACACACATACACACACATGCCTGCGTCCATTTTCCCTTTTCTTCGGCATCTTCTCAAGCCATTTTCATAATTTCATCTGTTTAACCTCGATCTGGCCTCCGCCCTCTCCGCCCCGTGTCCTCTCTCCCAACAAGGCTAATGCTCCTCATGGAAGTTCCAGAAGAGAAATAAGAGCTGGGCACCAGTGGCTCAGGCCTGTCATCCTAGCTACTCAGGAGGCTGAAATCTGAGGATCTCAGTTCAAAGCCAGCCAAGGCAGGAAAGTCTGCGAGACTCTCCAACGAAACACAAAAAGCCCGAAGTGAGGGAGTGGCTCAAATGGTAGAGCACTAGCTTCGAGAAAAAAAAAAAAAAAGCTAAAGGACAGAACCCAGGCCTCGGGTTCAGTATGGGCACACACCCCCCAACAAACAAACAACAGCAACAAAAACCCAGTGCTGGAGGCATGGTTCAGGGATAGAGCTCCTACCAAGCCAAGTTTGAGAGGTACTGAGTTCAAACTCTACTATTACAAATCAATCAAATCCCCAATACTCAAATGGAAGCAGCTAGAACCCTAGATTTCCAGGGAGAAGACGAATGGCGGAGTCCTGGGCTATCTGATAGGTGATCAGAGCTTGGACCGAGCCTCAGTACCAGAGCTTGGACCGAGCCTCAGTACTGGAGCTTGGACTGAGCCTCAGTATTGGAGCTTGGACTGAGCCTCAGTACCGAAGCTAGGACTGAGCCTCAGTACTGGAGCTAGGACTGAGCCTCAGTACCGGAGCTAGGACTGAGCCTCAGTACTGGAGCTAGGACTGAGCCTCAGTACTGGAGCTTGGACTGAGCCTCAGTACCAGGGTTTGGACTGAGCCTCAGTACCACAACTTGACTGAGCTTCAGTCTTCTCTCCCAAGCAGTGGGCAAGGCCTGGTTCCTCCCAGAAGGAAATTGTCTCAGCCATCAAATCAAATCAAGCTTCGCTATTTCGGTGAGAGACAGCGGTAATAACCCCCGTGAAAATAGCAAGCACGGTCGTAAAAAAACATAAGCTAGCATTATGTGGAAGGCTCATTTATGTGGAACGATTCATTTTTCCAGCAGGCTGGGACATGAGGCGTGAAGGTATTATGGTTTTTTTTTGTTAAGTGCTTTTAGCGGAGTCTGGGGAGGCGATCAGGTGGCCTCCAGCTGTGCTGAAAGGGGGGGTCGCCCCAGCCCTCACCCCATCTGCCTTGCCTGGCTGTCAGGGTCTGTGCCCACGGCTGCTCCCCCTCCCCCAGTCGCCTCAGCCCCCTCCCCCCTCCTCCCTCCCCCCTCCTCCCTCCCGCCGCCCCCCCCCAGCCTCACCCTTCTGCCCTGCATCCTCTTCTGGGATTTCCACCTCCACGGTCTCCTCCCACATGGGGGTTCTGGTGGGTTCCGAGGCCACAGAGCTCATGGCTTGGGGGCTCTGGCTGTCTGCTTCCTCTGGGGTGGTTTTTCTGGGAAGGGAGAGAGGGTGTGGGGTGAGTGGCAAGGAAAGTGTGCTGCCTACTGGCAGCGGTGGGGGGGAGGGACCCCATAAATCCCACCCCAGACTCCTCTGGGGAGGAAAGATGGACACAGCACCCCTGTTGTACCAGCCCTGATCCCCCCCCTCCCCCGCCGCTCCTGTCTGGTGACCACTAGTCAGAAACAAAAAAATAAATACAAAGAAGCCGGGGGTCAGTGGCTAGTGGGTCACACTTGTCATTCTGGCTACTCAGGAGGCTGAGAGCTGAGGATCAGGGGTTGAGACCACAGCCTGGGCGGGAAAGTCCGAAAGTCTGTGAGACTCTGATCTCCCATGAACCATCAGAAAACCAGAAGCGGAGCTGCGGGGCTCAAAGTGGTAGAGCGCTAGCCTTGAGCAGAAGAACTCAGGGACAGTGCCTAGGCCCTGAGTTCAAGCCCCAGGACTGACAATAATAATAATAATAACAATAACAATATAGAGGGCAGGCTGACAGGACAAGGCCGAAGATTGACTAGCTCCAGGCTCAGAAAGAGTTAATCTCTGATCTCTGCAAGTCCTCCACCCCCACCCAGAGGTCGGGGCCAGGTGTGTGAAATGAGGGGGGGAGGGGAGGCCCTGGGGGAGGTGGAGGCTTTTAGCAGGTGGAGGCCGCCAGAGGGCGGTGGGGGCGGGTAATGGCTTTTCCTGGCACCGCTTGCCCCTCTGGGCCTTGATGTGATGTGGATCTAGAAACTGGAGAGGGAGGTTCAGATTCCGCACAGAACACCAGCCGGAGCTGGGGGTGGCAGCCAGGTCTCACTTCCTGTCCCTCCCCGCCCACCCCCCCCAGCCACAGGGAAGACAGTGCTGGGGTTGTGTTCACAGGTGGAAGTGAGCCACAGAAAAGCACCCATGCATGCTCACACACACACACACACAGGTGTACACATGCACACGCACAGACAGCCTCAGGGTCTTCTTCTAGTCACAGCCGGGCTCACATCCCCTATGCCCCCTGCTAGTTCTCCGGCCTCTCCTCCCTCCAGCAGCCAAGGGGCCCGGCCAGGACGCCAATCCCAGGACAGCCACGGGCAGAGACAAGAGAAGAACCCCAAGTTCTGGTCTGTTCTGACTGCTGTGGTCCCAGCAGGCTCCCCTCAAGGCTGAGGAGGACCCGAGGGAGTTTCCCAGAAGCCCCTGGGAGGATGGAGACAGGGGGGTCTGAGGAGGACAGATAAAGGTGGACCTTCAGGTGGATGGGTTGAGGACTGTGACCTTTTGTCCTGGTCCCTCAGGGCCATCTGCTGGCCCTGGAAGCTGAGCAGAGAACAAGGTCACATGGCCGGGGGGTCTGAATCAGTCTTCGTGGGTCTGTCCTGAAAAACCAGACCGTTTTCCTTGGTTTCTATCCACTATGCCAGCGTCCGAGCCTGAGGGAGAGCCAGACCCTCAGGCCATGGGCCCCCCTCTTTTCTGGAAGGTACTGTGTCCAGTCTCATGTCCTGTCCCCGGTCCCCCCAACAACAGGCAGCAGGAATGGGGGGGCTGGTCTTTGTAGAGAGAGTTATTTGAATAGTGTGGACATGGACTTCATTGTTCTTTTGCTTCTGAGCCTTGCTGGTTCTGGAAGGTTCTGGAAGAAGTTGGGCTCACAGAGAAAAAGAAGGCCACTGTTCTTCCTGGGGAACTGGGAGAGGTGGTTGGGGAAAGGATGGGCTGGTAGATACAAGGTCAGCTAGTTGGGGTTCCTTGAATGAGTTCCCCTCTGTGCTCTGTTTTGTTTTCCAGTTCTATCTGAAGCCAGATTTGGGGGGGCAGTTGGGGAGGGGGTTCCACATCCCTGGCTTTGGCCAAGCCCCTCACCCACATTGGGAATGTGGGCAAGAACTTGTACCCAGCGCCCTTCAGAGTGGAGGAGAACTCTTCTCGTCCCTCTCCTACTTTACCAGCTGCAGCCCTTGGGCTGTGGCCCATGCTGCCTCCTCCAGCTTAGAAAGCAGACAGACAGCCATTTCTGGGTTCCAAACTCTCCTCCTACCACCCAGACCATGGCTTGAGCCGACCGTTAGTCCTCACAAAGACATCGGCCCTCATCCTGGCTTTTATTTATTAATTGGAGTCTAATGTACCATGGCTAATTGCTGATGGTTTACACACTCCAGGCGGTCTTCCAGCCACACCATGGCTGCTGTCTGGAAAAGATGGTGTGTGTGTGTGTGTGTGTGTGTGTGTGTGCATGTGTGATCATGCAGGCCAATCCTGGGGCTGTATCTCAGGACCTTGAGCTTTTGTGCTGAAGGCTAATGCTCTACCACATCAACCATGGCTCCACTTCTGGTTTTCTAGTGGTTCACTGAAGTGGTAAGAGTTTCATGGACTTTCCTGCCCAGGCTGGCCTTGAACCTCAATCCTCAGATCTCAGCCTCCTGAGTAGCAAGGATGACAGACCTGAGCCAGTGGTACCCAGCATCAGGTGCTTTTCTTTTTTCTCTCTTTCTTTTTTTTTTTCTTTGTTTCTTTCTCTTTCTCTCTTTCTTTCTTCTTTCTTCCTTTCTTTCTGCCAGTCCTGGGGCTTGAACTCAGGGTCTGGCCACTGTTCCTAAGCTGCTTTTGCTCAAGGCTAGCACTCTACCACTGGAGCCACAGCGCCACTTCTGACTTTTTCTGCGTATGTGGTGCTGAGGAATCGAACCCAGGGCTTCATGCATGCTATTGCCTAGCACTCTACCACTAGGCCACATTCCCAGCCTCCCTCTTTGCCAGGACCTTCAACTCTCCACATTCAATACCTTCTCCAACCAGCCAGCAGGCTCGGTGCGCGGTCTGTGGCCAGAGTCAGGCATAGAACCAAAACCTGAAGGGCTCTTGAGTCTGACTCTGATGGGTGCCTGGCCTGGGCCTCACTCTACCCATGAACCTGCAGGGCAGGGCCGGTGCCCTCCTCATCCCCACCCCATTGGCTCTCCTGCCTTGCTTATTAGCTTGGGGCAGCAGGCAGCCAAAGAAGCAACTGCCAACACTGGCAGCCCTTCACCAGCCTTTGGCCAGGGATCAGAAGCACTGGGCCATCTCCTGGAGTGCCCCGCCCCGCGCATCCCGCCCACCGGGCCGGCCTCCACCTGTCCTGACCACTGCCTTCCTGGGGCCCTGCTGGGTACTGACTGACAGATCTCTCCATGCCAGGCTGGGGGACAGGTGCTGGGTACTGGTCAAGCCCTAGGGCTTTAAGCCATGCCCAGAGCAATCAGGGGGAAAATGGAGAGCCGGGCACTGCCAGGGGACCTGGATATAGACTCCATTTCAGGCAGCAAGAGCGGACAATGTTTGCCAGGCCTCAGCCAATCAGCCAGGCCTGCACCAGCATGGAGGCAAGAGCACCGTCAGAGAAAAACGGGCTCAGAGAGGGACAGGGATTGGGCTGTGGTCACACAGGCAGTCGGGAACCATGGGCTGGACTCTGAGTCTTCTGATTTCCATCCAGCTTCATTCTGCTGCCCTGGAAGTTCTTCCATTGGCTCTCACGTGCCCATGGGGCGTGGCTGAAGACTCCTCTCTACCCCTGTACTGCCCACCAAGACCCACCAGCGTGGCCCACACTGGCTCTGAGCCCTCTGCCAGGTGCAACATGCAGTCACCAAGAGGTGAAGTGACATCGGGCCGGATTCACTCAATCATTCAGTCATGCATGTGTTCCTCCACAAATGCATGCCTCCATCCATTCACAAATGCATGCATGTATGTATCCACAAATTCATTCATTCATTCATTTATAAACTCCATCATTCATTCATGCATGCATACCTCACAAACCATTCATTCATTCTTCATTCACAAACACATGCATGTATGCATCCACAAATTCATTCATTCATGCTTGTATGCATACATCCACAAACCATTCACAAACTCATTCACGCATTCATCCACAAATTCATTCGTTCATTTATTAACTCCATCATTCATTCATGCATGCATACCTCCACAAACCATTCATTCATTCTTCATTCAAACGCATGCATGTATGCATCCACAAATTCATTCATTCATTTATAAACTCCATCATTCACTCATGCATGCATCCATCCACAAACCATTCATTCATTCTTCAGTCACAAACTCATTCATGCATTCATCCACAAATTCATTCATTCATTTACTAACTCCATCATTCATTCATGCATGACCCATAAATTCACTTCTTTCTTTTTCCTTCCTTCCTTCTCCCCCCACTCCTTTTCCGCGTGTTTTTGCTCAAAGCTGATACTCTACCAGCCAACACCTCTCCTTCTGGCTTTTAGCTGGTTCACTGGAGCTAAGGGTCTCACAGCCTTTCCTGTCAGAGCTGGCTTCAAACCCTGAACCTCAGATCTCAGCCTCAGATGACAGGTGTGAGCCACTGCCACCCAGCTTGAAGACACACTTTAAGCCACGTGTGTGTTTTGTCCCTGTGTTTTCTACTTAGAAGTTGGAAGACATCAGACATTGTTTCCTCCCCCCCCCACCCCCGTCCTGGGGGCCCCCACTGGGGGGGTCCTGTCTGGGGCTCCTGGCCATCCCTGACAAGCACTTTTAGGCCCCGCTTGCTGGGCCTTGCTTCTCAGAGGTGTGCCTCCTCCTTCCGTGTGCATCTCATTAACACCACCCGGAGCTGGTGGCAGCTCTGGGATCCAGCGCCCCTCACACCTCCCCCCCCCCCCAGCCTGGAGAGGAGTGAAGACGCCCGCGCATGCGCCCTCCCTTCCCTGTCCCCGCCAGCCGGTCGCCGGCAGGACGCAGGGGGACCGGGGCTGCCCCAGCTCGGGTCTCTAAGGCCCACACCGAGCGTTTCCATGGCAACGGGGGGGGGGAGCTCTCCCACCCCCCGCCCTGCCACCTCCCAGGCTGGATTGGTGACAGGCCAGGCCTCCATCTCCAGAGATGATCGGCGATAATGGGTTTATGGAAATGGCTGGGAGAAGGCGGCCACCTGTGCCCCCGACCCCGGGCCTGGGCCTGGCGGCTCCAAGAGAGCTTCCTGGCGAGCCAGGCAAGCAGTTCACTCCACTCCAGTGTGTGTGCGTATGCGTGTGTGCACACGTGCCAGTCCTGGGGGCTTGAACTCAAGGCCAGGGTGGTGACTTCTTGGTGCTCTACTACTTGAGCCACAGCTCCCCTTTCTGGCTTTTTTTGGTGGGTCATTGGAGATCAGAGTCTCACGGACTTCCCTGCTCCTGGGCTGGCTTTGAACCTAGATCCTCAGATCTCAGCCTCTGGAGTAGCTGGGATGACAGGTGTGCACCGCTGGGCGCTCTGGTCCCAAGTCACTAAGCCTCACTCCCACCGGAGTCCAGATGCTACAGACCAGGGTCCTGTGGGTTCAAGAGTTCATTGCCCCCCCCCCAACCCCACCCCCGGACTGTTCCCACACCACAGAGCCCACAGCCCTTGGCAGGACTTCCCCGGGTAATCACAGTTCTAGTCTTGAACCTTTAGGGGCTCATTTCCTAGATACCTACCCCGACCTGGGTTTCTGCTCAAAGCGCCGACCCCACAGCAGCCCTCCCCTTCCCACCCCCCACCCCCCCAGCCTGCTCACCCCTGGCTACTTACACAATCACGAAAGGCCACGGCTCCGAGCCGTCTCTGCAGAGAGGAAGGTCAGCAGCTCCATGGAGAGTGATCGCCACAGTCTCCTTATTAGAAGGGGCCAGATGGAAGGGGTTCCAAGGTTCCTTAGGGCCCTCGGTGCCCTGTGGGAAGAGCCAAGGCTGAGTAACTCCTCTTCCTCCTCCTCTTCCTCCCCCCCCCCCGCCCCCACTTGCCACCCTATAACCCCTAGGTCCCTCTACAGCTTCCCTGCACATGGCTGCCAACTTTGGGCTCCCCTACAACTTCCCTTCTGGCCACCTGTCACCAGTGAACGGCTCATACCTGTCATCCCAGCTACTAGGAGGCTGAGATCTGAGGATCGAGGGTGAAAGCCAGCCGGGGGAAGGGAAGTTGGTGAGACTCTTATCTCCAATGAATCGCCAGAAAATGGGAAGTGGCGCTGTGGCTCAAACTGGTAGAGGGCTAGCCTTGAGCAGAAAGAGTTGAGGGACAGCGCCCAGGCTCTGAGTTCAAGCCCCGTGTGTACTCATTTTCTGATTTATGAAATGGTAACCCCTCTGTACAATACCTTAACAATAATAAAACTTTATATATACATGTATATATTTAAAAGCTGGGAGTTTTCAGTTCTGCGTCTCCCTGGGTACTTGTGGAAAACAGAACAGTGGTCACACTGTTCCCTTTGGGTGACAGCAGCTGCTCTGTCAACAGCCTGAGGCCGATCCTTGAGTCTTCCTCTCTAAACGGGGTCCAGTGATATTCCAGTGCCTCTATTCTTCCTGGAGCCCCACGCCTTGGGGGGGGGGGTACTCTCGCTCCACATGCGGTCAGTTTGGCCGCACATATTTCTAGAACCTGACCCTTTCTTCACATTTCCTCTGCTTCACCTCCAGATTTCTCTCCAGGTCTCCCAATGGCTTAAGAACCTCCATGATGGCCTTCTCGCTCCTCCCTGCCACCCCCCTACCCCCCCCCCCCCCCGCCCCTGCTGCACCCTGTCCTCGCCCCTTGAACCTGGATTGCATCTCCAGGATAGTCTTGTCCCTCGGGCTAGCTCACTTGCTCAAAGCCAAACAAGATGTGTTATTAGCAGGTGACAATTCCAGCTACGGAGGGACCCTCCCCTTCTTCCCCTTCTTCCACTGAGACTCCCCCTTCCCTCCCCCAGGCCTCAGCGGGGTCCTCGTCACCATCTGCAGAGGTGTTGATGAATATCTCCAGGCCGAGGTGAGAAGAAGGGAGGGGAACCTCAGCCAGATGGAGGGGCGTGGCCAGCCGCTGGCCACGCCTTCCCACAAGCCCCAGTCCCCAGCAGGTTTGCTGTTTTGGTTTAGAGGCTTAAGAGCAAAACCAGCAGCCTGGAAGTCAAGAGGCCTAGGTTATGGTGGGGTGCTGATGGCTCACACCTGTCACAACGCAAGAGGCTGAGATCTGCGGATTGCACGTTTGAAGCCAGCCCCCTGGCAGGAAAGACGGTGAGACTCTAATCTCCTATTAACCAGCAACATGCTGGAAGTGGATGGTGGCGCAGAGTGGCAGAGAGCTGCCAGCCTGAAGCACAAAAGCTCAGAGACAGGGACTAGGCCCTGAGTTCAAACCCCAGGAAACACAAACACACACTCACACACACACACACACAGGACTGTAGGCCTGGGCCCCTTGTGCAGGCTGGGCCCAGGGCCAGGACCTGGGACCAAGGGCAAAGGCTGCAGAGGGCACTGGTGGGCCAGGACTGCCAACCTCTGCCTTCTCTTCTTTCCTTCCTACCCAGATGGAAATCCATTGACAGGTAGAACCTGCCTCAGGACTGGTGTCCCTGCCTGTGCTCCACCCCCAGCAGCCCCGCAGAGCTTATCAGGGAATTCAGAATACACGTGTTGGGCCCAAGTGTCATCCTAGCTACTCAGGAGGCTGAGAGCTGAGGATCGCTGTTCGAAGCCAGGCAGGACAGGAAAGTCCCTAAGACGCTTATCTTCAAGTAACCAGCAAGAAAGCTGGAAGTAGAGCTGTGGCTCAAATAGTAAGAATGCTAGCTAGAGAGAGAGAGAAAAAGCTAAGGGACAATGTCTAAGCCCTGAGTTCAAGCCCCAGTAGCAGAAAAATACAAATGAAAATCTGTAACTGCCCTGAATCCATCAGAATTTTAAACAGTAGTCATTTACTGTAAGTTTTTTTTTTTTAAAAAAAGATTAATATCCTTAATATCCAAAGAACACTGAAATCTATCATTAATTTAAAAAGGGATCCAGGAAAGAAGAGATATGGATACATAAAGCTATACACACAGCATGGCCATTAGTGGAGATGTGGCTCCAGTGGTAGAGGGCCAGTCTTAAGAGGAAAGAAGCTAAGCCAGGAGCATGAGGCCCTAAGTTCAAGTCCGAGTACTGGCATTAAACACACACACACACACACACACACACACAACTAAGGCTGACCGTCCCTTACAGAGGATATTTCCCAGCTATGAAAATGTTCACATAAACCATCTTGGCTCCTCCCCAGCTTGGACCACCCAGCTTGGGAGAGCAGGCGGGAGCCAGCTGGCTGTTTTAGGTTCCCTGGTTAGGCCAGCCTGTGCCTGGGCCTGTTGTGTGACAGTCTACCAGCAAGCTTGAAGAGGAAGCCGGCACCTGGGCAAAGGCCAGGGCATAGGCACAAAATAGATTTAAAATAAAAAGGCCAGGCACCCATGGCTCATGCCTGTAATCCTAGCTACTCAGGAGGCTGAGATCTGAGGATCACAGTTCAAAGCCAGCCCGGGCAGGAAAGGCCATGAGACTCATCTCCACTGAACCACCAAAAAACTGGAAGTAGCACTGTGGCTCAAAGTGGTAGAGTGCTAGCCTTGGGCAGAAAGAGCTCAGGGACAGCGTCCAGGCCCTGAGTTCAAGTCCTACAACTAACACTAAAGAAGAAAATACAACCCTCTCCTGGGGTTCAAACGCTTGTGTCCCTGCTGTGGACCTGAGCAGGGAAGGTGGGAGGTGGGGAGGGTTGGGGATTGTGGGGTATCAGGGTTCTTGAAGGGAGGGATGAATATTTTTGGGGGGGACAATCTGAGCTTGTGCCCCAGCAGCCAGAGGACAGAAGCAAACACTTAGCACTACCCTAGAGCAAGCACACTGTCTCCTTTCATTTGTGCCAGTCCTGGGACTCGAACTCATGGCCTCGTACTCTTGCTTGACTTTTTCAAGGCTGGCGTTCTACTACTCTGGCCACACCTCCACTTCCAACCTTTTGCTGGTTAACTGGAGAGTTCAAAGCCAAGCGCCCCTTGGCTTTATCTGCCTGGGCTGGCTTTGAACCATGATCTCAGCCTCCTGAGTGGTTCAGATTCTAGCCACGAGCCCCGGCCTACAGTGCCTTTCAACTCCCAAGAAAACAGAATATCTCACCCCGCAGAGCCACGGTGAGCAGGTCATCTTCCCATTTCACAGCTGGGAAAACTGAGACCCCCGAGAAGATTTAGGAACAAATCACACGCAGAACCCTGGGCCTCAGCCCCAGGCTGCTCACCTTTGTCTTTTTCTGCCCCATCCTTAGGCACAGGCGGCAGGGCCTCGCTTAGCGGTCTCTGGCCAGGCCTCCGTACCTGGTCTGGGTGAGCGATCGCTCATGGGAGGAGGTCAGGCTCCCCCTGCTTCTGAGACTTAGACTGCGGGAAGGGGGCGGTGGGCGGGAGGGACCCGGGTCTGGCTCTTTCTCAGCGGTTTCTGGTGGCACGGGTGCCAGCGGGGAGGTGGACCATGTCTAGTGGAGGAGAGGCTGGGAGGGGAGAATGGGGGATGCTTCCCCACGGGTCTGGGTCACCCGGGCAATGCTGTGTGACATCACAGGTCAGGGCGGAAGCCGCCCAGGGGCTGGCAGTGGCGTGGAAGCCGAAGCCCTCCCTTCTTCCTGGCATCTCTATCTCCAGCTCTGGCTGTCCAGTCAGGATCCCTCCATGCCTCTCACTGGTTGACCCTCTTCCTGGAGCAAGGAATCCTGCGATCAGGGCTCCTGGGTCCCCCATCCTCTCCCCAGCTTTGACTCTGGGAGCCTTGGGATGACTGGGACTGACTCTTTGGCCAATATTGGGGCTTGAACTCACGACCTGAGTGCTGCCCCTTAGCTTTTTCCACTCAAGGCTGGCGCTCTACCACTTGAGCCACCGCTCCACTCCCAGGGTGTGGTTCATGGCAGATGGGTCTCTCAGACCTTCCTGCCTGGGTTGGCTCCAAACCCGGGATCCTCAGACCTCAGCTTCCAGAGTTGCCGGGATTACAGGCGTGAGCCACAGCGCCTGAAGGCAGACAGGGTCTGCAAGGGCTGGGCAGGCGTGTGGCTTGATTGCTCTTGCTGAGCTGAGCTGTTGCTGGCTGTGTTTGGGAGCTCAGGTGGGAGGTAGCCGGGAATCACTTTGCTAAAGAAGTGGCCCCGGCTGGGGGATTACCTTTGCTTTTCAAAAATCAATAACTCGTTAACCAGGGGCTGAGGACAGAGCCGGGCATGATGCCTGCCAGCCCTGCCCCCCACGAGGGAGCAGATGCAGTTGGAGAGGGCCGCACTGGCCGGGCAGAAAAGGAGGCTCAGGTAGGGGGAGTTGACTCCAACCCAGCCGCCCACTCCATCCTAGCCTTCCCCCACAAGTCAAACCACCCTCCTCTAGCTCTTGTATTTCTTTGGCCGGTTGTGAGACTTGAACTCAGGGCCTAGACTCTAGAACTGTCCCCTGAGCTCTTTCGCTAGGGCTCTACCACTTGAGCCACAGCACCACTTCCTGTTTTCTGGTGGTTCATTGGAGATAAAAGAGTCTCACAGACTTTCCTGCCAGGGCTGGATTTGAACCATGATCCTCAGATCTCAGCCTCCTGAGTAGCTTGGATGACAGATGCTAGCCACAGACATCCGGCTTGCTTTCTCTGTTTTAATAAGCCATTTAGCAGGGCCTGCATCCTCAAGAGACACCCCCTATCCCCGACCAGGCCTCCAGATCTGTTTTCTCTAGGATCTGCATCTCATCTCTCTGACCCCTTGCCTCACAGGACACTGGTAGCTTCCCCTCAGTGAGCAGCAGGTTCTCGGCTTTGGGGCTTTTATGTCTGCCATCTTGTATGCCTAGACTGCTTTCCAGCCAGCCAAGATAATCCATAATGTA